ACTTTAACTTCTCTCTCTCTCTCTCTCTCTCTCTCTCTCTCTCTCTCCAACTTCTTTCCCATTCATGATTTTATATAATTTATAGAAAAATAATTCCTCTAATAATGTTACAGGTGTAACGGTACAGTGAATCATTGCATAATATACGGTACCGAACGTGGTTTTGGATTCGCTGAACCGTACAACATACACAAGAGTTTGAAACACTTGGTGCTACATTACGCTCAGAATTCTCTGGAAGAACACAATGAGAGTCTAAACACGACTCTAGCTTATCCGGCTTTCGCCTCGCCTGCGGCGTTATCAAAGTTACAAATGAAGATGCACACGCAAAACCAATTACAGTTAACACGTCCTCTTGAAAATCAACATTATATGACGCACACGTAATACCCGTGTGCCGATCAGTTACAAATATAGTTTACAAAGGTATTAGGAGATATACGTGTGCACGCAAGTTTACTTGGTATTTAATTACCAAGATTCGAAATCGAAAGTGAATGCGATGACGACAAATAATTTTTCGAAGAAGATTCTGCAAAATTTATATATATATATATATTCGTTTAATCGGTATTTACGGTTATTAAGGAGAAACTAACACGCGATAATTGATCGTTCCATTTTTATATAGGCTGGAAGTAAATGACACTTCCTTGAACGAAGTACAGTGGTATTGATAATGAAGTGCGAAACATTGGTAGCGATAATAACCTCGGAAGCTGCTGTAGTACAGTAAGGTATACGTATGTTATATACGTATGTTACCGTGGCGCTGCAGCAATAGTTTTGGTCGACAGGATCGATGAAACATTTTACGCGCAAGATTTTACAATTTTCTCGAGGTCAACTGGTTTTGACGGATCTTGTCGACAAAACCAACGAAATCGACGCAAAAATTAACCGAGAGTGAAAATAGGTTTTTGCCGCCCATTTATTATTTTATATTCGAGATAGAGAAGAAACATTTGGAATTGTGTTTTCCGTTACATTTTTTTTTTTTTTCGAGATGCACTTATTATTCGATCGAATACGTCAGAGTTAATAGAGGCATATATCTAGTCTTATAGGCAAATTGATGGAAGACACGAATAATAGAGCAGGACAGAAAACAATAAGTCTGACTAGGCTCAAACTACTCGCAACTTTCGATTGGTAATCAGGGTAGTTGCATTTCGTAAAAAAAAAAGGAAAAAAAAAAGAAAAAAAATTTGATACTAATGACTAAGATTGGATGGATGCATCCGTTCGTTCCGGAGCAAGCAGATGTGAAACAATACATTTCTTCATAGACCGCTGTACTTCTGACTCCTTCGATATTTTTTTTCTTTTTTCTGCGAATATTTCCCGAACCTCCGGTTTTTGTAACGCACGATACACGCGGTCGTCGTTTACATCGCGAATGTGATCGACAAGGTGTAAGATCTTTTCAACAGTGATACTAGGATATATTATTAGACGCATCGCAAACATAACGTAATCGAGCCTTTCGGATGCTTTACGGAACGTTTTTTGTAGTGATTTACAACAATAATT